GTGTAAAAAAAAAAAACTATGTTTATTCCACATTAAAATATTTTATTTTATATATATATATAAGACAGTTGGATTGATAATTAAATTCATGCTTCAATTATGGTTGCATGCAATCATGGTTTCTAATTTCTGAACTTACTATCCTTTTATTTAATAAAAAAAATGCATTTTGAGGCGTAGTTGAAAGTAAATCAACTGGTGACACGTCATTTTAATATCTCTCAAATGAAACACTGACTTTTGTCCTAAAAAAGGTATCCATTAATATAAATTGTTCATCTGTGCAACCAAAATGTCTTGCCCATCAGCTGATTGATATTGCTAATACACATTTAAGTAAATGAACAGTTCTAGGTAATCATTTAATATTACTTGCTTCCATTTTTTTTTTCATCTGCAATTTTATTTTTAAGCCACCAATCATTTTATACTTAGAAGTTCGAAAAATTTATATTAACAATAATGTCATAGTGATTTGACGTTTTGGAAGAGGACAAAAAAAAGAGAAAAATATTAGAAGAATAAATAACTTTTTACACCATGGAGCGCCACTACACTATTTAAAAAACACCTGGAGCACCCCCTTCTTTTTAAAAATAAGGAGCGGGAGCTAGCTCCTTTTAGGGCTGGAGTGGCGGAGCGCCGCTCCACCGCTCCTTTAAATTTAAGGTATAAATTAAATTATTTTTTAAATATTAATAATATTTGTTAATTAAAATTCGATAAAAATGAAATTTTATTTTATTTAAATTTATCCATTTATTAAATGTTGAGCCGAGTTTTATATTGGTTTTTCTTCTAATCATTTTAAATATTAAACATCGTTTTTCATTTTTATATTGAAAATTTTTTGGAAAATCTTGTAAGTCATATTAATATTCATTTTATTGATATATAATAAAAAATAGTTTTCGATATTATGGATTTAGAGATCATAGAAGAAGAAATCGAATTTCCATTTCCGAATGCAAAATATATTTTAAACTTCTAGAAGATGTTGATCCAAATGACAAACAAATTTAAGGGCAAAATGCTGTTAAAAGTATTTCATATTCAAAAGTGAGCAGCTCATCTAAAAAGCATCTAAAATTTAAAAAATCTTTCTTTTAAATACGAAATGATAATGGAATAAATTTTTTTAAAATGGTTATAATTATTTTTGGACAATTCATTATAGTTGAGATTGTTAGATATGATGCTTTTTTAAATATATTTTAATATTTATTATAATTTTCTCATTACTTGTTCAACCTCCTTTATTATACCTGAAATTAAAAAATATCTTTATAAAATACTCCGCTCCGCTTCCCTCTAGTGCTCCTATGGAGCGCTTATTTAGTATTGTAAAAACACGTCTTAGGGGAGAGCCATGGATGTTTGTTGGATTCTAATCTAGAAAATTTATTACTTTTAAAGGCTAATAATATATTATTAATATTTTGATAGATCATTTAGTATTCGTGTACCTTTTAAAAAAATGAAAATCAAAGGAGTAGTTATGGAGTGGCACTCCATTACTTGGAGCAGGAGCTAGCTCCTTTTAAAAATGTAGTAGCGGGAGCTAGCTCCTTTTGGGAAGGTAAGAGCGGGAGCGGGAGCTAGCTACTTTTAAAAAGGAGCGTTAACAACTTTGTTAAATAGTTTTTTTCCCCGCATATTTGAGCTTGATTTTGGTATGAACATTATCATTTAAAGACTAATTTAAGGTTCGACATTTCAAATTTAATATGGAAAAAATAATTTTCAAGATTCTATAAATTTGTCTTGTATAATTAGTGCCACTTATATAATTTTTGTTTTCTTATTTCTACTACAATTTTCTTAAATTTTAATTATATATATAATATATATATATATAAATGATTCACACTATTTACCTGTAAATTGTGATTATTATTTCTTTGCAAAATGAAATGTCATTATAAAAAAAATATTATATATTCTCCAAGGCTTTGTTTAACTTTTATTCATGCCAAAAGAAACATTTTAAAAAATAACAATTATTATTATTACATTGTGACAATATAAATTATCCAAAAATACAAACTAACTAACTTATGAATCGTAATCAAATTTAAAATTAATTATCCAAAATTACAAACTAACTAACTAACTAACGAATCGTAAGATTTCGAAATAAAGGGTTCAAAAAAGCGTAAATATTTGTATTTTATATATATAAAAGAAAAATTAATTGATCTTGATATATCTTTATCTTTTTAAATATTTATTTCAAATTTAAAAAAAATAAACAAAAATGATTTTTCGCAATCGAACTTTTGTTAAGTTGAAAGTTGACTCAATTATTTGGACACCCAAACAACAGCAATGAGATTATTGTAAGGATAATAAGAATGGTGTTCATATTTTATTTTAAACCATTTACGAGCAACAAATAATAATTTTCGATCCATATTTCGCTTTTGAATGTGCTTGTTGATTCCAGCTTCATTCTTGATATTGTTACATTTGGGTAAATCATTTTAAAAGTCTTTATTGAATCTTCAATGAATTTATAAATTAGTTCAACTTCAAATATTGACCTAAACGCTAATTATTAATTTATTTATTTTTTATCTTAAAATTACAAATGCAATATTTTATTTTTTATTTTATCTTTGAAATATTATTATTGTACAAAAATTATTTATATATTATATATTATATAGTAATTTGTATAAATTAAATTGCAATTAATTTTATTTCATGTGACATTTATGTATAATATAGAATAATGAACTTGAATATCATATGGTATTTCATTATGTATGAAGAAAAAAAAATGTACTTGTTTGACCTTTAGCATAAACTAGTCATTTTTTTTACTCTTTTCAATCTTTGAATAAAATAAATTTATAATTTGAAAAGTAAAAAATGGTTAAAAAACGAAAGCAGAAGAAAAAAAGCTTTTTATAAATTAAAAAAATTAACTCGGACCAGTAAATGAATTATTTTAATAAAATATTTATTAACTAAAATTAAATTAAATTACTAACCATTTACACTTTGTTATAATATTTATAAAATTGGATAAATTAAATTTAAAATTATTTTCCTTTGTAAAATTTTTTTTATATTATGAAATATGTAATTATTTTATTATATATATATTTAATTACTATTTTCAAGGTTGTCTAAAAATATATAATATTTCTGAAAAATGGCAATTATTTTTTGGTAATAATTAGTAGATATCATAAAAAAAAGTATATTTTATTAACTCAAAGTTAAAATATTAATTATACGGAAGAAGAAAGAAAAAATTAATATTGGTACTAATTTTTATTTATTATATCTAGTAATTAGCCAAACGATCACCAAATTATTAAATAACCTTTCTTAAAACCTCTATTAAAAAAAATAATAATAAAGACTATTTAATGGAGGTCATAAAAGGTGGTAAGTAAAAGAGAAATCTTCATTAAATTTTTATAAATTATAATTCTGGCAAAATTGGATTTTTTAGTCAATATGCCTAAGGATCTAATATTTTCCAGGATCTAAATGCATAGAGCTATAATTTAATAAATTAGTAAAATAAGAAATTTCATATAAAATATCAAACCCCTAAATCAGATAAGCGAGCCTTTATGGGCCGGTCCGACCCGCATGCTTTTTTAATAGGCTGGTCTGGGCTTGGGTCTAAAATTATTAAATTTATTTAGGTAAAACCTTAATAATTTCCCAAATAGCAGAACTCTAATTATATTATACCTACTCACTATCCTACTCACTATCCTCAACTGATATAGTAAAAGAGGAGATGCTTAGCAATAAACGATCTTAAAAACTTTGAAACCAAAACATAGTCACCATTAACATGGATTTTTTTTTTAAAACACAATTTATCGGTATATTTTAAATTATAACATTTAATATAAAACAAATTCTGTCCGGGATTTGTATAATAAATATTTGTATTGATGAAATCGAAGGCAAAACAATAATCAAATCCTTTTTTTTATACTTAGTAACGGTTTCGATACTTTTTTTTTAAATGTAACGTTAATTTTCTGACAACTTTGCAAGAATACCTTTTGTATATTGTATATTTTTCGTTAAAAAATTACGATATCCAGGTTCGTAGCTAAAAATAAATTCTTATTATGCTCGGACCTAAGAAATAAGTGAATTTTCTTGGGTGTTTTTATATTTCACACGTTGGTCTGAGGGGCCGGTCCTCTAAGAATCGCGCGAATTACACTATGCCCTTCCCCCTTTCTCAAATAAATCGCGCCGGATTTTATTTTTATATATTATAAATCACAAGGATGCCGACAAAAATCATATTTATTTATTGTATATTTAAAATCAATTTATAATTATAATTTTATTTTCTTTGCTTATATTATGTTTTTAAACTAAAATAAGAATCAATATTTACCTTTCTTATTTTATTTATTTTTCTATATAATAAATATATAATGTAATATATAAAATTTTGCAATTTTTCGGCTAAAATTCAAAAAAAATCAAATGAACACAAGGGAAGATTTTAAAACTAATTTTCCTATCCTGTTTTTAAGAAATTGTCTAATTTGGAATTAATTTTAAAAAACAAAATAAATATTTTTAAAAAAAACATTTCTTTTCTTAAAACCAAATTTTTTTTTTATATTATCTTGTTTTGACTTTTAAAAAAAAACATTTTACCTTGAAAAGTAGTAATAATAATAAATATACAAATTAAAAGCATTTTAAATGATTTAAAAAAATATATATATTTATATTACATATATAATTTTTGGTGATAATAAACCATAAAAAATTTTATGACACATTTCTGTTATTGACATTCTAATGATTTTTGCCAAAATAAAAGTAAGAAATTATTATTTTTTGTATTTTGAAAAATTTTATGGATTAAAAAGGTAACACGTACTTGTATAATTCGAGGAATTTTATGATATCTCTTATAGAAGTCTGAATAAAAAAAATATGATCATTCTTATGTAACCTTTTCACATATTTATTAATTTTTTTTTATTAAAAATTTTTAGGCGTAAAATATACAAAAAGATACAAGAAACAAAGGAGTACAAACATGAGACTTCCCGCAACGCAGGATTTGCAGCAACAACAAATCCACGGAAGGCAGAAAAAGCCACACGTTTCTAGCTACCAGAGGAGCAAACTAGCCCCTGCCCTGGGGCCTTTGATATACGAGACTACGGATTTTGAGGAACATTCTATCGGTTATGGACCCGTTATCGAGCCTGATGATACTTCTCGTCTAGAGCAGAATGGCTATTACCAAAATTCAAACGATTATGATAATAGGCAAAGATACAACAAAGGTTATCGAAATCCCGGATTATATGAACGGGAAGAGGCGAGAGAAGGTGGAAGAGGACGAATGAGCAATGGGGAATCGAGAGGGGCGGATGCGTCGATGCCGAATAATTATTCCGAAGACGATGAATATATGATCACAGATTATTACAGACCCCCGCTTTCATCGCATGATAGGGGTCGCAATGATAGCCAGGGGAACTATCAAGGCGGGAACGCGCTAATAAAATCGCAAGATAAATATGGCAGTGGCAATAAACGCAGTTTGTCTTCTCCTTCGTTCCGCAAAAACAGAATTAACAATGGTTACGATCCTCCTATCGAGGGTTACGCGACCAATACGGGTAGTTACAGGGAGTACAGAGATTCCAACGATACCAAAATACCCAGCAATTACATGGTTTTAACTGTCAATGGAGACGGATCACCTCAACCGGAAGACACTTACTGGCTTAAGCCGGAACCTATATTGCCGGATGATGTAATGGTTAATCGCGGATATTTTTCGTCTACTCCCTCGACACCTTTACCCCAGCATAAAGATGTCGCGAACGAAGATAATTCCTACCCTCAAAGAGATGACAAAATTGTTGCATCTAGACAGATTAATAGCCGCGAGGCCAGGAGGCCTCAGGAGGTATCCTTCGCAACTACCACCAACGATAACGACAGTCATTTTAACCGTGAAACATCGAGGGGCGATATAAACGCGGTGAGAAATGGTTTTCCCATGGACGCATCTTTCGCGTCATCTAATTTTAATCCAATCATACCCGGCCTGGGCCCGCCGGGTCAAGCTACCCTAGTTAATACCCCCGAGTTCGGATCTTATACGTCTTCCAAATCCAAATCTTCAACCCAAAAAAGACCTTCTCCTCAAAGAACGTTTTACGCCTTCCAGAAGATGAAAGAAGCCATCAAGTTTTTTTTTAAAAAAATCATACTCGATTTATATATGTGATTTTAATTTTATAGCGATTATTTATTTTTTTTAAAAAAAATGTAGGTTTTTTTATGAAGGAGAGGGATGGGAGTCATTAAATGATTAGTTAATATGAATGAAAAAATATATTTAATTTATTATGGCAAATAAAGATGAAATTGTATCCAAATAGATCAGAATTGTGATTTTGGTTCGGAATTACTATATTTTAGGCTTCTAATTCCAGAATCGATCCTGAAAAGATTCCCTGAGTTTATACTTATCTTCTCTTAGTATTTATCATGTCAATCAAAAAAGAAAAACGACGTTATATCCAGAGATCGAAGCATTTCTGATTTTAGATTAATTATTTCTTTAAAAGTTCTGATATCAGAAACGGATCCAAAAGGTTTCTAGACTTTTGCTCATTTATTTATTAATTAAAAATGTATGTGAGTCTAATTATGAGCACAAACCCAATAACCACTTTTTTAAGGCATATATTTCCCGTTTCAAATTTTTTTAAAAAATTTTTGCCCGGGTTTTTCTGTTCCAGTTTTTTGATTCCGTTTCCAATCTCTGACTATATCTTATCACCATTTTTTTCTAAGTTGGTAAATAACTCGTATTGTAAATCATTATCAAATTAACATAACATGAAGAGCAAAATAAGATATATTTCGTATCGAAATGCCATTACCGCGACTCCTGAAACCAGACCCTGTCGAAGTATGGAATACTAACCCAGATCCTTCTATGTTCAGTTGAACTAGTGTTGCTAAACCGGTTTAAACTCAATATTTTATCCAGAAAAAAATATTATGCAATCCTAAAGATATTGCTCATCGTTGACACAAAGGTATGGAGATCTATTAACGAAATCTAGAGGCTTAGACAATATTTTTCTGGCCAAAATATCGAGTTAGCCGTTCTTAAAAATCAGTTCAATGCGAGCCGTTCAACAACACTAAGTTGAACCCGGATCAATCATTTCCGGTTTATAAATTATTCCCCCTCTCCACCACTTCATCCAATCCAATCCAATACCGATATTGATATTTTTTGTTTTTTAAAAAGAAAATAATTAATAATAAAACATGCTATTAAAACAAATAATTTTATTAAAATTTCTTTTCAATAATCTCCCAATTCCTTCCCTCCCTCTTCCTCAATTCATGTATTCCTTATTATTTATAAATCAAAAAAATAATAAATTGGTTCCCTGGATGCCCTTAATGAGATTAAAATTGATTTTTTTTTCCTACTTCTTTGTAACAAAATAAGAAAGAAATTTTTTTGAATGAGTTCATCGAAATAGAAGTAAATTTCTTATATTAGTTACGTGAAATAAAAATATTCATTTTTTTGCAAAAAATATAAGAACTTTCCATTAGTTTTTTTTAAATTTTATTCAATTTTTCTAAATCCAGATGTAATTTTTATAAAAACTTAAAAATTTTAATGAAAAAAATTTTTTTATTTTACCATAATCCTTTTTATTAATTAATAAATAAAAGAAAAATATTATTAATTTATTTTTAAATATTAATATTTCGTTTTTCAAAAGTGATTTTTTTTAAAAATAATTGATTAATGGGAAGTAAAAAATGATTTTATAATTTTAATTCATCAATTAAAATTATAAATGTTAGAACTCGCTAAATGCCTTATACAGTTTTTAACATAATTTTATATGTATATCATTATTACTAAGTACTGTTGTATATAAATGGCGTGTAATTACTGTAGGATAATTATAATATAACTAAAACAGAATATAATTTATTTAATTTTATATTTTTTTTTTTTTTAAATTAGTTACTTTAAAATATAAGATGTTCATAGAAAATGAAAAATACATTTTATATATTTAAAAAATAAATCAAAAAAGATACTTTAAGAAAACACATAAATTACAAAATGTTCATAAAAAAAGTGAAAAAAATGTTTATATAATGTTTTTATTTTAAAGATAAATATATATTCAAAAATAAGATTTAGTGGGGGGAGGGGGGGGGGGGGTTTAGAGTTGATGGGATAAGTATCTCAGAAGTATACTATTCTCGTATTTTATTGCCATCAGGAGTAGCCATGAATGTTGGCTGAAGTGATATCTCAGATGTTTATTTTGTTCGTATACTATGGTTTATCAGGAATTTTTTAAAAAAAAGCTTTCTAAAATCAATAACAATTTTTTGTTTAAACCTTAATTTTTGTTAGAAGCCGTTCTGGTTCTTCCAAATTTTAAGAAGAGGGATTTTGATTTCGGTTCCTGGATTTATCCCTATTTCGAAGGTTTTGCTTTCTCTTCCAAACTTGGCAATAAGGAAGGAAGGAAGGAAGGAAGGAAGGAAGGAAGGAAGGAAGGAAGGAAGGAAGGAAGGAAGGAAGGAAGGAAGGAAGGAAGGAAGGAAGGAAGGAAGGAAGGAAGGAAGGAAGGAAGGAAGGAAGGAAGGAATATATCATAAATAAAGATCCTCAATACTTTGTATTTTTTTCGAGACTTTTAAATTTTATCACGTGATATAAACTAGAGCTCTGTAATTGTACTACCTATTTCTTCAGGTCCGGCTCTATCCGAGATAAAAAATAAATAAAAAACTAAAATCTTACCAATTTAATCCGAGTAATTTATTTTTTTTTCCTAAAAAAACACTCTATAAGATCAACTCAAATAGGTTTCGTGCATTTGTTTTAATAATAAACCCTGATGTTCATTAAAACTCCCGTCAAAAAATTTATTTTATTTTTAAAACAAATATTTAATATATATATATATATTTTTTTTGTTTATAGCCAATACGTTTCTTACTTAAAAGTTCGTATCAACGACATGATCCGATGTTACGAAAGAACACCTGTCGGTTTCAATACATTTTCGTCAGAGAGGGCACTGAAAAAGTTGTCTCAGAACTTCGAGAACAAAGGCAAAAAGTCTGGATATAAAGCTAAAACGGTCGGGCCTTCCTCGATGTCTAACATTAGCAAGGAAACTCCAGTGAGTGATTATCCCAATTCTCCCAATCCACTTTTGCTCGAGAAGAAGATAAAGAACGCCCAGAGGCTACTTAAGCACCTGGAGTATCACGCGACAAAAATCGACAGGCTCTACGATGATTACCTCCAGAACCATAAGCTCAGAGATGGTAAGAAAAATATCTCGATTTGTCCATTTAATATAATTACATGACTATATAAATTGAACAAATCTTATCTTTTTCATTATTCTATTCGTAATTTTTTAAACGAATTTCTTTATCATGTCATATAACATGAGTTAACTTACGGTTATATTTTTTTTCCTCTCTCTATAATATTCTTACTAATTATACTTTGATATAAACCGCGTTAAAAAAAGAAAATATTTCTATTGTATCCTAGTTGATATAATGATTAAACTAAATTATATTATTATTATTAGACAAATAATTGTTTTTTTCTCACTTAAACCAGTATTTTTATATAAAGTTAGTCAGTGTTGTAAAAAAAAATGATTGTGCTATTATCGTTTAACTTTTTAAAGAACGGCAAATTATATGTTAATGTTATTATAATTTGGTTTACGAATTGCAAAACGACATTGCAAAAAATTAAAAAATAATTTTTTTTATACCTTTTATGATGGATATTTGACTATTATCTCAATTATGTCAAACTGAAAGATAAAATATCATTTTGATAAACTCTCGTTACTCGTATTGTTCGGTTCGCCAACTTTTGAGTGACTCATTTCCTGTCGGCCATTTTGTTGATTTTTTTTAAAATTATTTTTTTTGTTCAATAGGAGCCAAAACTATGTCTTTTGCGTATTGCGATCCTGCCATCTCTTCCTCGGCTAAAGTCATGAAAGAATCTCTCGTCCATTTGGAAAGCGAACGCAAAAATTGCGACAAAAACATGTTCACTATCGAAAACAGGCTTCAAACCCTTATGGGAACCTTTCATTTCGTTATTAAAGGTTAGTCAATAATTGACTTAATAAATTTATTGATAGAGGGAGGGAGGAAGAAAGGAAAGAAAGGAAGGAAGGAAGGAAGGAAGGAAGGAAGGAAGGAAGGAAGGAAGGAAGGAAGGAAGGAAGGAAGGAAGGAAGGAAGGAAGGAAGGGAAGGGAAGGGAAGAAAAGGGAGGGAGTATAATATTTAGACACCTCATTAAAAAAATACATATTACTATTTAATGTGTTATCTTAACACAAATTATTTAGAAATATCTGGTTACGCGAGGATAGGAGCAGGTGACCAATTTGATATAGCTATAAAGTACGACTTCCCTAAATTCAAAAAATTTAGCGCCAAGTGCAAAGTAGACAGAAGACTGGATCAGATGTGGGACAAGCGTGGAAGGGTTTATCCCCTTCTTTTACACGAAATAATGCGCTTAAAGGTACAATTAAAGTGTGTAAACTAAATATTTATTTCTTTTAAAATCACCAATATACACTGATTAAAATAAATATATATATTTATATGATATTATATATAAATAAACATTCTAATATTAGGCGAAAGAAGTCAAAACCCTCAATAATGCGACACTGACCAAAACTACGTTGGATCCTTTAGACCTTCTATCCATAATCCCCATCCTCAAATACATTAAGCTCACTCCTAATGGTTCTCTCAAGCTCAACGTTCTATTTTTTTGGAAGTAATCCTTTACCCTTTTATCAACGATTCCTTTTAAAATTTTAAACTGGAATTTCGAATTCCCTTCCTCCCTACCTTTCCTAATTTTAATTTAGATTTTTCCAACGCACATTTAGAAGGATTTAATCATAAAAATCATACCTTTGACTAGTATAATGAAATGTCATTATTTGAGTTAAACTAAATCCTCCCCTAGATTTGACAAAATTAACGATACTAGTCTTAGTGTATTTAAGGAAACAAACAGACAGACCCTTGATCAATCTTTTAACTATAATCATTTTTTATTATTAAAGTCCTTTGGGAAATGAGTTGGCTGAGGAATTGGATTTCCTTTACGAAAATTCCCAATTTTTTGATTCGTTTGTTTCGTCAAAAACGCCACCCGAATTCGTAGTTTCCCACTTGCCACCGCTAATGCTAGATGGAGGATCGGGTAGAGGAGTTAAATTTAGCGGCGACAAGGCGGCCTTAGAAGGAAGTGCGCTGGAAAGGAATGGATCAAATATCGTCGCGAATGAAAATTCTTCCCCAAGATGGAAAGGGGAAAGAGATGACAAAGGTAACCAATTCATATTTTAATTTTATCCTAGAGGTTTTGACACTTTATACTTCCGGTCATTCTCTAATTTATCTAAGACTTGTCAATAATTGAACCTCACTTCTTCTTCTTCTTATCCGTTTAAAGGCGAATTCCAGATTTACACATGTTGCTCAGTTTTCCCTTTGATTTAATCTTTAGGAAATTTTGTAGCGAGGATTTTACAATCGGCTGCCCTTCCTGACCTCGTTTTTACACCCCGTCGAGGAGACGGTGATACTATTTCTATACCTAGACCCAGTGGCGTAGCTAGGAATTTTCCTTAGAGTGGGTCCATACATATAACCCCTTTAACGGGCCTTCGGCCCTTTTGGCCGGCCTTCGGCCGGTTTATCTTAAAAATTATATTTAATAAATATATTTTTTAAATGCATCAATAATATGTTATTATATTTTAATAGATTATTCTCAATGACTTTATAATAATACTATCCAGAATAATTTCAATAGTAATATAATATCCTTCCACAAACATCAAAACCAGAAAAATATAAATAATCATGGTATTTATTTGATATAAAATCACTTTTGAATCTTTTAAATGTATTATCTAAAAAAATAATTTGCTCTGGGAGGGGTCCAAACCCGAAAACCCCTCCCGTAGCTACGCCACTGCCTAGCCCACAGTAGACCTCCATTAGCCAAACCCGCCTCGATAAGGCTAAGGTAAGATTTTGGAAGGGGGGGGGGAATAATTCGAACTTCACTAATCTGGGATTACTATTATCATGTTCACTAAATTTACTATATAAATTATATAGTTATAATATGTACTTGGGCAACCTATAGTCAAAACTTTTATTGTATTAAAAAAGTTATATTTTTATAAAATAACGTAATATATAATAAAATATTTAATTTATAAATTATATTGATTTTTAAAAAAAATATATAAAGAGAAGAGGAGTATAGGCCGTGCTAGTGCAATAGGTGGTGTTAGAAGGGATCAAGGAAGGCAACCTAGTAGATATCAGGATTATTTATCATCCAGCAATTATCAATCTCCCAACGATGTGGATTCATCTTCCTCATTGGAAAAGGTTAAATAAAATATACAGAAAGAATATTCAATTTCAAATATTAATATGATAAATAATATAAATTTATCCAAATAATTTGGGGCGGGCTGTACAACTAGTGCAAACTTGTAATATTGACTTATTAAATTAGAGGGTAATGAAAAATCTTAAGCAGTTAGTGCGAAATTTACAGTAAAGTTGTCATGAGAAGAGATATTCTCTGGGTTTCGCGGAATCCGTCTCAAAGAGAACCGAACTTTGGTACCAAATGAGGCATGAGTAGAGCCGGTAATGGGTATGAATATGCAAGAGGGATCGATGAAACTGTATTTGGTTATTTTCCGAGATTCGGAAGGTGTGAAGGCATCTGCGTTTTGGTTGGAAGGTTTATTAGGATCAATGCCGGTGAAGTCCCAACCAAGCTGGCCCCTTAATAGAATTGAGGATCTTCCTACTGGTGATTACTCATCAATATTAAGGATTCCGGTTAATTCAAGTCTAGAAGGGATGCCCGCCAATTTAAGTGCTCGCCGGATAAGATCGTTAAATTTAGAGTTTCAAATGCCGCGGGAAATGGCCCCGTCAAAATCAGTAGTGGAGGCAATTGTTGACTCTGATTTATTTGCATGCCTAAGGCAGAACAATTTCGCAGTTACGTCTTAGTTCATTACTAGCTCTTTTGGGAAGAGGAGAAAGTCGAGATTACGAGAGCATACTTTTGGTTCACATCATAAAATAAACAGTGAGCTCGTTATCATGAAGGCTCTATTTTAGGTAAGCGGCGGAGCCTTCGTTGAATAGTTCATTCCTATCTTCTGTAAACACGAATAAGAAGGTAGTTGAGTGTTTAGGAATACAAAATTGTCTCAAAGATTTAGGCTACAACTTACGAAAAAAGTGTATGGAGAAGGGAAAGTTCTGAGATAAAAAAAAAGAACGAGTTAAAGGTGATCGTAAATGTTTACATGAAAGTTATGCCTGTAGCCATGGGTTATGATGACGAGGTGTCGGCTTGAGATCACACGGAAATTTCAGATGATTTTGGTGAATCGAGAAATTTAAAGATGGAAGTGGGTCGAAGGGCGTAAAGATTTTAAGAATATAGCAAAAGTTTTTAAGGAAGAAAAATAAACTCGATGAAGAGGAAGATATTTGGATACGTTTATAAATCGAAGCATAGAAGTGAAAGCATTAGAGAGAAAGGTTATTGATAGATTTTTTAAACCGCTAACTGGGGGCCTGAGATGGGTTGGAGACATGTTCTCGATTTCTTCTAAATAATTTTTTTTTTGACTGTAGTCGACGCTGGATCAAATTTATAAGATCTTTTTAAATAAAAAATTTAATGTTAATAAAAGAAAATTTTATCTCATTAAAAGATTATATAAACACGATCAGGTGTTCACACTAGACTAACCCTTAGCCAATATCAGGCCTCCCTATATTTTTAACTTATGTAAAATCAAACAAATATGTTATTTAAGCTTCTTAAAATAATTCTCTAATTTGTTAAATTTTTGGATAAACTTAGAAATACTATTCCAGACCGAGATTCAGCAACAGACAACAAAGATTACCCTTATACTTTGAGGATGACAATTTCAATTCTTACGCGCAAAATAGAGGGCGTGAAAGAAAGGGGGAGCCGGATAACTTTTATTCAAGAATACCGCTAGGAATTCAGAGAATCAGAAATAATAACCTAGGTTTTTTTTTAAAATAGTCTAATTTAATTTTAAAAAAATATAATATTTTCGTTGGATTGTCCGACAACAATTATTCATAAATATTTCGAGTCAAATGATGATTTTGAATGAAACTTAATGTCGTAATCGTAAATAAATCATATGTTCAGTGGTGCCATAAGGCAATCCGCTCAAATAGCTCCAAATCTGTTGTTATCACTTAAAATAATCTGCCATGGATTCATCCCAGGATTAATGTTCTTTCCTTTATTTGAGTCTATATAACACTGTTTTTTTTTGTATTTATATCAGAGAACTGCAGGTTCGGTCCTATGCCCGTTCTGGTCCTCTCCGGGTACACGGGCCTTATATTTTAAAATCAAATATTTTAAAATCAACATTATAAAACTATAAATATTAAAAATAAATAAAAAACTTACTTTAAGAAAATCCAGGCCTGGACCTGAAAACTGAAAATATAAAACTTGTGCCGGGTCGATTAAAATTTTTTTTTAAATAGATCGGACCAAGCTGGGCCATGCAAATGGTACCTCTGCAGATCTCCGAGTTATATATTTGATGGATTTTTTTTTTATAATATATAATCATTTGCAACAAATGTCATGATTTTATTACCTAAATTGTAAGAAATCTTTATTCCTAGAGAAATCTTATGCAGTTAGTTATGTTCTTTAAAAAAAAATCATGTATAAAACATTTTTTTTTCATATTCACTTTTATCCATTCTCCCCCCCCCGCCCCCATCTAGTCGATGAAAGAGGGTACCAAGAACATCAGTCTTCCTATCGAAATAATCCGGTAAATGTATACGCAACAGCCAGCAATTTACCAAGTGACAATTTTATTTCCCAGCCTTTCGATCAAAACCAATTCGAACAACAACAGCAAAGTTCCCCGCTAAATGAACAACCTCGGCTAGGGCAAACGCAGGAGTTCTCCTTTCAAAATCCCCCTTTCCAAGTCTACGATGATAGTAAAAGGCAGGTTCAACGGCAATTAAGTAACAGCCCTTACAACAACAGTTATCAGCAGCGCCCTCCTTCGAGAGACATCCCCCTCAATTTAAACAAAGATTTCCAAGACGTACTTCACGACCTACGGCACTGTTCGAGCACTTATAAAGCTGACGGAACGGATACGGGAGAATTTAACGATTTGAGGGACATTGTCGAACAATTTTACGAATACCTTTCGTACGTTGATCCTAATAAAGTTAGTAGTAGTAATCCTAAGTTGTTGCTTATTCAGCAAAAAAATAGATTAGACCTAACGAAAATTCGTAATTTCTTTTTACTCAGCAAAATTTTTCTACATTTAAATTGTATGAAGACGTTACTTTTTTTCTTCAGTTTTAAACAAACGATACATTTTTAAGTTATTTCCTGTGTCCATTTTTATCGATCAATAAATCACTTAATAATTATAAAATGTAAAAATTTAATGTCGAAGAATAAGAGTTTGGGAGAACAAGAGATTATAAACGATAGTCCAAACATACCTGGACCAAGTCAGACGCCTTCCCCCATATACAGGGATCTTACGAAAAGTGACGATTTCAAACTCGCCAAGACTGACAAAAAGAAAAACACATTCGGAAATGGTTAGTATTTTTATTTTATTTTTTTTGGTAACTAAATGATGTTATAAAATTTTAAAAAATGCGCTCAAATAAGTTGATCACGTAAATATGCACTGATGCTAACAGAATTTTGTATATTAAAATTCTCGTTGCATTAAATTCCAGCCAAAATTTTACCTGATAAACTTTAATGTTTTCGAAGTCGGGCTAGGGTTAGATATACTTAGTGTTATTTAAACTACCTAACTTTAGTCAACTATAAAACAGCGTGGCCGCCATATTTTTTATCCAAAAATATATCAATCTTCAAGTTGAAACTCAACTTAGAAGCTTAGTTTAATTGGATTTTTTAGGCTAAATGATTGATTAAGCCACAATAGAGAGGTTCAAAGTTAGGTGATTTAAAAACACTAGTTAGACATGATCATATGGTTTTTTAAAGGATTTTTTGAATATATTTTATTTTTCATTTAAAAAAAAATAATTCCGAATTCGATTTGCAGATATAATCTCGACAGCTTTGAAAAGTTTCGATTTTTTGAGCGGAGACGAAAAACAGAAAAACTCTTCAAGGAATAAAAATAGGTTTCATATTTTTTTTTCGTATAAAAAAAAGCACGGGTGGCCCCCCTCTCCACCATTTTTCTACTTTTAAGAATCAACTCATTAGAACCATCTGATTCGAGCTTATGACTCATCTCGAGAAAATCCCGAATTAATACATTTCAAATAAAAATGGCGCCTTCTTTTTTTATTTTTTTTAATCTTAATTTAAACATCCCCCCCCCCCCCGTTAGATCGAAAGAAAATTACGATTACCCTCAAACTCCTTCGAATCCGAACGCCGCCGTAAATAGGGGAAACGACAATATACCCTTCATGGACTCTGGATTCGATTCATCCGCCACCGGAAGCTTGGATAGGAACATCTCGCGTCAGCGGCAAGGTTTTTTTTATAAAATACTTAATTATTTTTATTTTATTTATTTTTCAGTATTTCTGGAATAACGACTTACTCTGCATTCACAGTTAGCTGGGGAATTCGCGGGAAAGTATATTTTGAATCCCCATAAATTCGCGCCAATCGTGAACGCAGGGTTAAGTCGGAATCCCTTATGATCAAGAATCTCTCAAATTTAAAGCTTGTACGTAGACGTTTTTTTTTAAATTTGAACAAAAAAAATCTGATTTTAGATGTATTCCAGCGTGTGTAAGATTATCATCTACTATATAAATTTTTAGGACAATTTAGTCTTGGACCTTCATTCTTATAAATCTATAAGGGTATTGAACTTAAGATTAGTTTCAAAAATTTACCTCAAAATCGTTTCAAACTCATATAGTAGGTATATTATAATACACACGAAGAACGCTTGAATAAATTATTGATAAAATCCCATTTTATTTAAAAATACCCCTTCGTAATTGATTTAAAATGGAGAGATTAGAAATCCTCACCAGAAAAAGTTATTAGACCTATATTAATAAAAAAAAATTGATTAAGCAGAGCTCTCCATACTCCAATAACGTTGAGTCTCTCCCATATAATAATTCGATTTCAAAATCGATATTAACTAAGTATTTTGACAATGAGGTCACCCACCTTGAAATTTCGATGTTGAAATTGTATTATTAGGTTAAGGGTTAGGGTTAGGTTAACACTCTCCCACCACGTGTTATAACATTTTTTTAATATCTTGAAAAATATTTTTTAACAAAAAGTGATAACGAGTGGCGATTGGATATCAACGGGCGATTCCAGCCTCGATAAATGTCTGAGGATTCATTTAGCCCAAGTCAGTAGAGCCCTAAAACAATTAACAATAAACTTGAAATCTAACGAAGAACAAGATGGCGGCAATATGAGCATAAATATCAGCATGCCACTCAGCAGAGTGAAATGGCTCAAGATAATAAAGGTGCAAAGTCTGTGTCTGGAGATTTATTTCGAAATAGCGACTCACCAAGCCTCGAGGGATTTCAATGTTGTCCTCGCTATAATAAACAGTTTAATTTACACTTTATTTGTTGTTGCTGTTGTTTATTTCAATGTTGTCCTCGCTATGATAAACAGTTTAATTTACACTTTTTGTTGTTGTTGTTTATTTCAATGATGTCCTCGCTATAATAAACAGTTTAATTTAGATTTTATTTGTTGTTGTTTATTTCAATGTTGTCCTCGCTATAATAAACAATTTAATTTACACTTTTTTGTTGTTGTTGTTGTTTTATCTTATATTGAAAAATTGCGTTTTATATACATATATATAAAAAAAAAGAATACACCAACTTGAACGGTTGGGGAAACGTTAACAAGATCGCTTCGTTTTGGGGCAAGGCGTTACAGGGTAGTAGCGGTTCTCTATCTTCCCCTCTGTCTCCTTACCCGAACCAAATATTATTGATTCAAGCTAGGCAATTCGAAAACTGTTTGGAGAGGGAATACCTACCTTTCCTCCTCAAAGGTCACACTCAACAGATCATATCTTTAGGTAACTTATATCTATCCCTTATTCATTTATTGACTCTCAATAAACTCTTACCCAGCAGCTTGTAGGAATATATTTTTTTTTTGTTAATGACAAGAATTTTGATATTTAGAGAATGATCATCTTTACTGTTTATAAAATAAGAATTTGTTAATTTTTTATATTTTAATAAAATATAAGAGAGGGGTGTGGGAGTAGTTTTGTCACGCGTCTTTAAGGAATTAAGAGGGATAAAGGGAGTATTCGAAGAAACATTTGTAATTCCATTTTAGCATTTCAATTTGAGTTTTTTTTGTTTTAAAGGTAAGGGACTCGGTTTAAAATTGCAAAGCAATATTTCATATCTAATTATTGTTAGTTATAATTCCGTATAAAAAAAAACTACTAAACTGTTTGATTGTTTTGTTTTTTTTTTAAATAAAATAACCCGCTATCTTAAAATAATTTGCAAGGAGGGTTTTACTTGATTATCGCAAAGATTAATATTTATTTTTAATATTTTACCTTATTCGTTCCCCTCCCCCTTCCCAAGTATTTCCGAAGGTGATAGGGGAAATTCAAAGGATAATAGTTACCCCCTTTGTTCCTTCCTGGAATGACATGCCTCAGAGCGAAGGAAACGAAATGGCTTCGATGGGTGTCGGCAACTACATAACTCTGCTTCAATTAGTGTTTTACTTGAAATTGAACATTATAACCGATTTTAAGGCGCATTTAGACGAATTAGCGAAGGAATGTAAGTTAAAATTCTTTTTTTTTTCATTTTAATGAAATTAAATTAATTAATTAATACGCAAATAAAGTGGAATTCCGGGATTTATTTAACGCCGGCAATCAGAACGGACTTATAAAATACATTTTGTCGTTGAACAACGATCTCCCTCCGGCCAATAGCTTCGATATGATTTGTCGCCTTTTATGCAATAACGATGAAATAAATCGATTTACAGGTTAAAAATATATAACGTATATTACAACAATATTTCACGTGAGAAATTTAAGAATTGCCATAAAAATATCAGCATTGATTCATAATAATTCAATTCACTTATATCCAATCTTAGCACTCAATTCTCTTTAACTCCGATGGTAGAACGAAAAATATGCCCTTTAAAGAATGAATATAAAGAGATTTGCCCTTACTTATCTATCATATATTTTTTCTTCTTTTTTTTGAAATCCCCCCCCTCCTCTCCCTCATCCCCAAAACAAGTGACTTACCTGAATAGCTTGAGCAACCATCCGGAAGCAAAAAGAAAAGCGGTGCTACGTGCTCTGGCTTGCTTAGAATCCAACGATATTATTATAAGGTGTGGTGCTTGCAGAGCGCTGCAACATTTGAAGGTAATTAATATAATTAATGAATAATAAACAATAGCTAAAGGGGATGCTAAAAGAGGCTAATTTATTTTAAAATAAGTGCCTATATTTTTTCCCCCACTGTATAGAGGACTTTACTTCCGTAACCCTCCTTTTGCGGGTCTTCGGTCCGCTTTTGCCTGGCCTTCGGCCGAGTTTTATGCCATTTATAACCCTCTCCCCATACTTTAATTAATTTTAATAAACGTGTATTCGCCAATCTATGTAACGTAAATGCAGACCCTTAAAACAAAACGACAAATTCTTAAAATAACCCCCCATTTTAAAAGTTTTTCATCTTATCTAAGAAAAAAGGTAGAAAACTATTTTTACCAAGTTCTTGATTTAGCCATTTCTTTTTAGAATATTAGAATAGATAGGGAACTATTCAAAATGGACATCTAATTAATTGGCAATGATATATATTATATGATACTAGATCGGCGTTTAATTAATTAAAAGTGTACATACATAGGAGTCAGTTGTTGCGCAATTTTATTGTTTGTATTGGGCGACTAATTGTCTTATTCATCTGAATAATACACATTATAATTCATTTAATCTGCGGTCAGACCACAAAATGACGCTACAGCTGACCATATATTTTGAGCACTTTATATGTTTTATTAAATAAATGAGTAAAATAACCAATCTAGTAATATATATACACACATCATTGTTAATTATGAAAATTAATAAAACTTTTGTATAACTCAAAGAAAATCAGCGCAAAAAAATTAATGTATTTTCGAATTTTTGTTTTGTATTTTTAATCTAAAAAAAAACAATTATTGATTGAATATACAATTATTATCAATTTTCTTCCCATTTATTTTACGTACTTCAAGGCGACCGAATCTATTAACCAGTTGCTCAACGTATTCACTAACGACCCAAATGTCAAAGTGAATGAATCCGCTAGAATAGCCCTCTTGAACTTGGGTCCAACCGGAATAAGCGCCTACGAAAAATTCTTGGCTAACCGTCTCCCCGCGTCCCAACAACGAAATAATGGAATTAATCATTATTCGAACGGAAACCAAGGAATATATAATTTAGGCAACTACGGCAATTTCAATTCAGATTCACAATTATAAGATTTTTTTTCCGCCATCTTTTTTTGTTGAGTATATCAGAAATTATTAAGCGTTTTGATATATTTATGGTTGCTTAAAATTGACTTTATTTTTATTATGGGGCATTTCGCGGTATATAATATAATAAAACTTAATAAGGTTTAAAACTTTTTCATTACTTCAATTTGCATTTTTATGATTAACTAATTATAAGTATATAAAATACTGAGTAAAATTTGATAATTGTCGTAAAAAGCCATAGGAAATCATTTGTCAAACTCAAATCTTATCTATGACAGTCCTTTTGGCTTGATATTATCTATATATATATATAGATATGTTAGCTTCAAAATGTGTTATTTTTACAAAAATATATAAAAATCATTTTTTTTGACCGAGATTTTTTTTAAAAAATTTAATAATCAACCGGAAATATATTCTAACCCTATCTTAATGAATTGTAGACATTTTTCACTGGATGACGGAATATATTTGCGGCAAATTCAAGATTTTTAAATTTTTAAAAACGCCCTTCAAGAAAAATGATTTAAAGATTTAAAATAACACATTCCCTGGATAAAACAACATTACATATACACTAAAAAATTCAGTATTTTTTTTTATAATTTTATATGTCTAAGAAGTACCTATAAATCTAAAGGGTTATTAATACGAGTTAACATCTAATCAATTCATGAATACAATTTATAAAACTTTTAAAGTTTAAATTTTGTAAATTAATTTTTTATCTTTTTATATTACAAAAAAAAATTATAAAAATTTGCAAATGCTTATATTATATTAATATAAAAAAATATAATTATATACCTATAATATTTTGTTTAGGAAGGCTTTATTTTTAATTCAAGAGAAGTTTAATTTTTCTATCATAAATTTTTACCTAAATTTTAAGCTTATAAAATATTATATTTAAATGCAATTATATTTTATTTTTTTAAGAAAAAAAAAATTCTTTTATAAATTTATACACTATTATTTCAAAACTATATATACAAATTTTTATGTATTTTTTTTACTATCTCAATAAGTTTTTATATTTTCATAAAAATTCAACAAATGCAAAAAATATATATATTATATAAAATTTATTTTTCTTTTATAGTAGATGACCACGACAATTTTATTATTGAAATATTTATTTATGTGGTAAAAATGTTGCAAAAAATAAAAATAAATGTTTAAAAATGCAATTTTAAAAATAAAATTGTGTTGTGATGATTTAATGAAAACATATTGAACGATTAAATTAAAACTCATATTCATATAAAACTATTTTGTTTGCTAAAATAAATTCTTTTATTCCACATTCTGTTATTATAATTATTTTTGCAAACAATATTTTTTATGGATGGGTTTTTAAATTAATCGTCAACATGTTTCATTAAATCATCCACAACATTATATTAATTTATTTGGGTTTTTCCGGTGGAAGTGTATGCTACAAATGCAAGTAATAGAATATCAGCATTAAAAACCATATTAATCGAAATTAGAATATTAAAATTGAACATCTTATTTCACCAGTAGTTAATTAGTGCATATAAATGTTTAAGGATAAATCGAAATTCAATTGATATGAACATTAAATCTTAATATTGATAATAATAATTTAAAGGCTTACACTAAAGAATTTAGACTTAAAATCAACCACCTCACACCCTTTAAAGTAATTAAATTATATTGCAGTTCTCGGGTATAAGCTTTTGTTTTTGCCCAACTCTTCTTTTATTAGTCTATAGACGTTATAACAGTTCTCAAACTGTTGCGCGTACAAGTAAGAGCGGCTTGCCCATAAACGCGTAGAGGGATCCTCATTTTTTATTTTTTCACCCAAATTAATTTAATTCCCGTTAGACGGAAGAGGAATACCTAGCGTAGCTCTGTTGAATCTTCAAACCAGTTGGCATAAGTGCTATAAATCACGTATATTTCTTGTTTCATTTTCAGGTTTGTTTGGGCAGGTAGATCAGTTTTTTAGTATACTTTTCATTATATTGTATTAAAAGTTTTTAAGCATTTTTAACATAAAAAATTTATATCGTTACACAATCACACCTTTTTTTTGTGTTAAGTCTCTTCCGGTGTCACCTTATATCATAAATGTCACCTCTTTTTCTTGTCACATCAATAAGTCAAAGTAAATACAAATAAACCGAATTAATTCCTTAATTGATTCCTAAACTGGACCCCCCCCCCCTCTTTTTTCCACAATAAATAATTCAGGTTTTAATTTTAGCTCCGTACAACAAAAAGAAAATTATTAATACGATAAGGAATATTATTCTTCTTGTGTGGCTACAGTTCATTTCAATATTTATTAATAAATGAATCGTTAGTCTAGGTTAGTATTCAGCGTAGATAAAACATTAAGGAAATGTAACTTCCAACCATGTAGAATTAACATGCAAAAGTAATCTTTGTATAGTAATTAAATTACAATACTGCAAAAATGAGACCTCTACTGTCAAATACCTGACTGACAATGGCATCCGTGATCGGCACTTTTTAATGAATGCAAATATAAATTATAAATAAGCTAACGATTATATAGGCAAGAAATCATTCCATCTAAGGATATTGTAAATTTCGCGAAAATTTTACTTAGGACAAATATTTAGGGGTCATTTATTTCCCCTTATTTTATAATAAGAATGTACCGATTTTTTATCTTTTTAAAAATATCGGCTAATATTTATTCGCTAATATGATCGGATAATATGGCATCTTTTTTTCTTTTTTTTTAAATAATAACCTTTTATTACTACTATCAAATAAAATAATATTAAAATTAACATATCAAATATAAAATAAAACATTATTTTATAAAAACGGAGGTGGGACTGCAAGTTCCCAAAAAACATGAATAGTTATATTTTAAAATACTTATTTGTAGGTTTTGTTTTAAAAAATAGTATTCTTTTGGTTCTGATGTAAGGGCCAGGGGCGGACTGGCCATAAGACCCGGTGGGCATTTTGCCCACGATGCCGCAAGGAAATGTCGATTTTTGAGGCTGATCAAAGGAAAATATCAAAATAGAGGCCGATTAAAAAAAATTATTATTATGATCACATTATTTTCTCTTATCATTTATTTATTTTTAATGATATCTTATCTTTATGATTTGAATATAACATTCCTTGAGAATTGTCATGTCGTTTACTATATTTTAATGCAAACGCTACACATCATTACCACGTTCTTTTCTTTGTTTTTTTTTCAAATGTAGTGAAAACGCTTCCATTTAAATAGAGTCTAAGTTTTGATTAATTTATTATATTATATTTTTATACATTGAATTGTAAAAATAATATAGCCAACATTTTTTGTTCTTAATTCATTGAAATCAAATAAAATTCAGGTCGTTGAATCAGATAAAAGGATAGATGCTTGGGTGAAACAGCCAAAATAAGTTGAGAAGGCTGCAAAAAATAGGTGAGATAAGGTGGTGGGCACGTGAAAAAGTTCTTAGATTTATATATGGTAAAGAGAGCTTGCTCTCAATAACGATAAAGACTCTTCAATTTATAATATATAATAAATAATTTGAGACAAAAACTTGATAATTTGACTCTAATACAGCTGTAATATATTTGGAAATTTTTAAAATAATGGGGCCACTGTCATATCTTCAAACTAAAAAATTAGGTACTTTGTCAGCATGGAAAATGAAAGATGATGCTAAATCTTCTGTATCATTGATTATTACATCGATTCGAAATAAAGCAATAAAATGGCTGCTAATTTAAATGAAAAATTTTCATATTTATAGCTCCCGGAGAGTATGAGTACAAAATGCTCTGTAAAAAGATCGAATAGGACGAGCCAATGACATATAATAATACCTAGACTGACGATTCATTCATTAAAATGCCTTTTTAAGGGTTATGGGCCGCTATTACTACTATTAAAAAATGTTAAAAAAGCTAATAAGCTAAAATGGCTGTCAAAATGGCCCCTATAAGTTTGAAGTGAGAGATTTATAATAAATATTGCAATCTATCCATTCCACAATTACATAAGTTTCATAAATAGCTGGGTTTGTGTAGATCTAGGAGTCTCTATTAATTTTATTCATTATAAAAAATCTTATATCAGTAAGTTGAGTAATTTTTATTTAAGATGTTTTTTATTTTGAGAAGTATGTGAAACTAATGTTGATAAATAGGTATCTAATAATCTCATATTTTAGCTTTAAGTTTCAGTCATATACCTCTTATATATTAATATTACACATTCTACTCCATTTTCCATTTTCATAACATTAAATTATTTATTAAAATTAAAACAAAATAATATCTTATAATGACTTTTGCAAATATATTAAATCTTATAATATATTATAATTATATATCAAATAATGAATTAATGTGAAGTCATATTTTCATAGTAAAAAATAATATATAATAACAAACATTGATACTCAGTATACACATATAATTTCATTAAATAATCAAACAAATGAAGAAAATATAATATATAATAACAAAAATTGATACTCAGTATACACTTATAATTTCATTAAATAATCACACAAATGAAGAAAATATAATCTTTAATATCAATATTAAATGTAAATAATATTTTATAATATTAAATACAAAACATATAAATATTAAATGCAAAACAATTTTATAAATATTAATTGCAAAACAATTTTATAAATATCAGATGTAAAACAATTTCATCATTCATAAAAGGTAGGGTGAGCCTGATTGACCAAATAATACACATGATAAACTAGACAAAATCATTTAGAAACTAATTGTAATAGTTTGTTCACTTCTTTAAAGAACATTATAAAATAATAATTTATATTTTACTTTATATCTTTTTTTATCCTAAGAGAGTAAAGCTTCTTTTTTATACTGTGCCAATTGAGATAAATAAACTTTAAGCTTTGAGCATATAAACTTTAAGCTTATTATTTGAGCACACAAATTATAAGGTTAAGCGAAATTTAGCGAAAAGTTTGCCGACAAAATACCTAATTATAACTAAAAAATAGTAAAGGGTACGATCCTTTTTAAGCATGTATAAATGCAAATCAGCTGAAGACGCCATAAACACCATATTTGTTACATCGATGATAATTTGCTCAATAGCATATTTGAATTTGTTAAGTAAATATTTTAATCAATATACTATGGTTATATTAATATGAATTATTTTCCCATAGTTAGTTTTTATTACCATGATCTGTTAAATTTTATATTTAATTTGCTACTTATTTAAATTTATTAATCAAACATTTTATTTTATCAAAAGATTATTTTTATTTTCTAAATTATTAATATCTACAATTATTGCGATAATATAGTCATATATTATAAAATAAGTTTAAGCTTTTTGCTTATAATGTGCAGGTAAGCATCAGCAATTTTTATTCAAGTTAGCAATCTTATTATTTATTGTGTGCTATTATATACCTATAGAGAAGATTATATAAGAATATTCATATTATAAGTCAATCTAGGGCTTAGGTAAGTATCAATTTTATAACTCAAGATTTAGAAATTGTTTTATTTTGAAGGTTGTTTTTAAAAATATATAAAAATTGTATAATGCTTAGCCCAAAAGTTATAAAAATTTAAATCTGATTTTTATTTTTGTTAATTAACTATATTATTTTTAAATTTAGTATTCTATTTACATAGCTCTTAAAATAGAAATAAATGTACATATTGTAATATATTTTTATACAGTATAAATAAGAATATTAGCTCTAAATTTTCAAATATCTAAAAATGTCCAGGCTGACATAAAAATTTTATGAAATGGTTACTCAAGTTTATAATTTTATATTAAATAAGGAATAAAATTATATAAAAATATAAAATAAAATTATATTTTTTTTGATAATTATCATTCATCATATCATATAATAAGAGTTTATTTATATCTATTATTTTTTTTTTATTTAACATTATATAAGAAAATAAATATAACTATAAAAAAATAATAATATATTTATACTTTATCTATCTGTCTAGTCTACCCATATATATTTATCTAATTAAGGTTATATCATTATGCAGATAAACAACAAAAATTCAAATATCAATATTTGGCAGAAGTTGACGAAAACCATTCTATTTGCAGGACAATAAATATATTGGCACATGATCTTTTTTAATTTATATTATGACTGTATATATTTAAATATGGATGCTATATATTAATGAAT